GTGACTCTGTGTAAAAAGCGTAACGTCCAGGAAATGGATCAGTAAGACCAACATACTGATCGCTGTCGGTAAACTGTAACTTGCATTTACTCTGACCACGATGAGAGAAAACCAAACAGAATCACATTTTTCATCTTTTTAATTAAGTTTATTTAATATTATTTAAAACATTTTTTAAATATACACCATTATAAATATTCAAATTCCAATTTCAACACTGGGACCAAGATCTTAGATGGTATATGCAGGTTTGGCAAAGAGTATTTCGATGTACTTTTATTGAAAATTGGGTCACCACTCTCTCACGACAGCATACTGTAGTCTCACACACTCCCGCGCAGAGGAACAAGCACTTACAGTCTCCCAATATAGTCTCCCAGAAAAACCATTCCACAAATTCATGATGATGACAGATTCGTACATAAAACCTGGCCTAAGTCTATATTATTAAATTCACTGTTTCCCTCACAGCTGTACTGTAGCCATAGGTATTAGAATGCACAACATTTAAGAAAGCTCATTATGAAACTATAAGCTTATAAAAGTGGCTTCTCCTAACTTGCTACATTTGTCAATAAACATTCCACTTAGCAATCACACACCCATACAGTAGGCTCTACTACACTGCCTCTGTGGCTCCAGAAATTTTTCGAAAGGGTACGACATGTCCAATGGGAGGCAGACTACAGCCTTAGCCCGAGTCCCGGATTAAAAATTCCCTGGAAGGGTTTACGGGGGGCGTTTTTATAGCTTAGTACAATATGTCCAAAATTGTGCTTTTAAACCACAATATTACAGATTGGCAATCAGAATAACTTTATTTGGATAGGCAAGTTATATATTTTTATTTTTGATCCAACCTCATCTTGGCGTCTGACGACGGGGGTCCAGGCCTGTCCAACGGGTGTAAATGCCCTCCCTGCCACTCATTGGTGCCACCATTACTACACAGCAGATGACAGTACAGCACAGGTCTATGCATTCAATCTTCTTAATACATAATTACAGTACAGTCAGTAGGCAAAAGGTATTATATTATATGTATTATTGATTTCTATTGTAGATATTGAATTGGCCTGCTGTTAGAAGGACATTGAATAATTTCAATATTCCATTCTGTACCTGTATATATTGGTTTATTATCAAGCCTTAATTTTCATCTAATATCAGCAGTGGAGGTGCATTCCCAAACTGGAAATTAACTACATCTGATCATGCGACATTCTATTTAGCCTAATAAATCTGATATAATTTAGAATTTACTATTTTGTCAGTGAGAATACAGTATGTCTACTGTACCTTCTCAGTGTGTCTATGAAAAGCTAAATTTAAACCATTTTTAAAAATTAGGGCAGAAATATAATAAGGACGTTTTAAATAAATACTGTACACGACTAGCTTGATTTGTAGGGGTTTTTTTAAATAAAAACATCATTAAACATTTTACCCCAGCCTCAATTTATTCTTATTTCAGCCTTGCTGTTCTTATTAAATGTGTTCGTATAAAAAAAAAAAGTGTATTGTATCAAATATAAGACAATTAATTCAAAAAGAGTCATGCATATACTGGATGATGGATCATCAGTTCGTGACCAGAAATAAAAGACTGTTTACACACCTAGGCACCAATAACAATACTAAACAAAAGAAAGCAAGCAAACTGTGACTTATTGAAATCTACAGTTACTGTAACTTGACCTATTTACAGCACATCTAAGACAGTCAAGGATATAACGATGACAATTACTGAGCATGGCCTAAGAGCAAGAACTTAATCCGGAAGGAAGCACTGTCATCCAATATGATCCAATATGATATTCCCAAATCATGTACTTGTGTATCATTCATGGAAAAATATATTATGTTTTCCAGGAGGGAATTGTGTATAAAATTATGTTCACTGTATTTATTCGACCAAAAACAGAAGAAATAGTCACACACAATCATTAAAAATCAATGGTCAGGGGCGAACCACCCCCCCCCCCAGCCTAGGCCTAAAAGTAGTATCTAAATAGAGGGGTCTAAAATTCACTATTATAAAACTCCTCTGAGGATATGCTCCTCATTTACATTAAGATATCAACACATACAAGAACTAAAAAAAGACTAACCCTTAATTATAATTGTAGTGAAAATTTACAGTAAAATACGTCTTTAAGAATTGCACTGCAAGTTGACAATAATAATTATTATGCTTTCGACACACCATGTACAAATATCTACTTAGGCCTATCAATTGATTTTACTTGGTTCCGAGAGGAACAGCTAAACCAAACAGTTCCTCTCACGACCATATACCATCAACTGAGGAATCTACAGTCACTTAACGTTAAATCATGGAGGAATATTTAAGTTTAGAATATTTTCTCCCTTTTATTATTTTCCCAATTGTACTAACAGTACTCTTTTTCGGTAACCCCTCCCTCCCCTTCTAAATGTGTACAAAAAAATGTTGATTTTGCAAAACCATTTTCTATTTTTTTGTGAAGTCAACCAAAGCAATGTACTTGGTTGCTTAAAAATGAATAATATGTACATATAAGAAGGGTTTTTGAAGGGTTGTTTATTCGAGGGTTTTTCTTTTTCTTTTTTTTTTTTTGGTGTAAAATGGATGTATACTAAAATAAATGCTCTGTAATTTCAATGTAAATAGGAAACTATTACAGTATACAACACAATACAAAATGTGTTACTATATGTTCACAAAGGCTTACTGATCACAACCAGATGAAAAAAAATATAATTCTACTACTGAAACAGTAGAACATTAATTAGAATGTATTGAGGATGATGTACCTGCCAATAGATTTAACAGTCATTTGGGGGGGGGGCATTTATTCAAGAAAAAAAATGAACGCCTCAAGGCGTTTACAGTATTCGTTTTCCAGGAGGAGTTTATTCAAAGTGGGGCATTTATTCAAATAAATAACGGTATTTGTTACAAATACAGTTTCCTGTTACCATACAGCAATACATGTTGTTTTTTTTTTTTTATTTTATTCTTCTAAGCATACAGCAATATAAATTTATACTGTACGGGTTGTTTTAATACAAATCCTTGTTTTATGTTTTCTGATGGTGTCATGTAATACTGATAGATAAATTGCTATGGTTTCTGCATACATTGTCTTGCCAAGGTCAATTGCAACAAATGACAAATATAAAATAACAAAAGAGGCGATCTTGTCAAATTACTCATCGCTTTCCTGAAGTCATTAATACAGTAGACCTTGACAACAAATGTAAACATGTTGATAACAAAAAATAATAATAATGATCATGACATCAGAGAATTAAAGACTGACAAATCTGACAAATGATTTATATTTTATCTTTATTGTTGATAATTATAATACTTTTATGTATTGGGGAAACGACTCAATAGTTGATTAAGTTTGCTTTTTGGTTTGCCTCTCTCTTGTTGTTGTTTCTCATTGTGTCTGTTTGTTCTTGCCTTTTGTATATTTTTTTTTTTTTGACAGAAATAAATGAAATGAAAAATAAAATGAAAGACTTTCCATAAATTCATTTTCTTTCAATCGTCCATGTAGTGGACTTCTTCAGGATATTGGAGAGTCTTCGGAAAAGTTCACAGTATGACAAAGAAAGGTAGAGAAAATATTTTATGGTTAGTCTTTCGTAACATGCCTAGTTCTGTCGTTACTTCTTTTGTTTTTGTTTTGTTTTGTTTTTTATTTTTATGTTGAATAATGTGGCTAAACATTACAGAAGAAAAAAATATTTTTAAACAAAAATATGTTAAAATATTGGGTATTGTCATATTATTTACAGTAAACTATTTTTAGAAAATATTGAATACTGTGAAAAACGCTAATTTAAAAGAATTGCAGATCATTTGGTAAATGAACAATCTGCATTGATTACAACTTAAAGAGATTATAATAAGCTCAATTATTACAATAGGATCATTGTTCCAGTTCTTTTGTTTCCATGAAAATCACCAACCACCATAATGCATCAGTGCCAAGAAACTGAGAAAATATCCAAGCAATTAACTTTAGAAAAAAATAATAATCTAGTTTCAACAGATGTGTGTTTTGTAGACAATAAACCTCAGCAAACACTTACAGTTTCTATGAACAAAGAATTAGCACTTTATGGACTGTTATATTATGGGAGAAAAAGTAAATATTATCCTTGATTTAATAGGAAACGGTAAATACATGTTGGAATGGCATTAATGTTGTAAAAATATGTTTTCTCATGGGCCAGTTTTAATCATATATTATTTCTCATTTACTTCATTTTTATTATTATTTTCACAATTTGATTCATATAATTTCTAATTTATTAATTTTTAACATATTTATTTATATTATTTTTCTCTTCATCATATTATTTCATATCGTTTACTTCATTTATTATTTTCAAAATTTTATTTTCCTAATTTTTTATTTTTTTATTTAAATTTATTTATTTATTTTATTTTTCTCTTACTTTGCTATTCTAGAACTTCGTTCTCTTTCTGTGACTTGGTCACATTTCAACATTTGATGCAATATATTTACTCACGGGCCAGTTTTAATAATTTATTTCCATTATTTTTTTTTATTTTTTTTTATTTATTTATTTTTTTTTTTTTATTTATTTTTTTTTTTTTGGTTGCTA